GCAGCCCAAGGAGAAGTGGGGAGCCATATGATTTTATATCCCCATCAAGTTCTTAACAGAAAGCAAATCAGATAAAAGATTGCGGGGACACTAAGGCAGTGGAGACACCAGCGAAAATATCATATTGTGAAGAGCACACGGGACACAAGCCTTCACTGTGCCCTTGCCGTTAGTGGAGGGCCCGGTAGCTCCTCCCTGACCACCTGTGGGGCTCGCCCTGGTCAGCAGCCCTGGGCAGAAGCAGGCGGAGGCAGCTGCAGCGGGGGAGGAAGCAGGGAGGGCCCCCTGCTTGCGGTTAATACTGCCGGAGTCTCGCATCTTGCGTCCAAGTAGATTTCATGCAGACTGCACAGCTGTCCCCGAGCCAGCACGCCTGGGGTACGAGGCCTGCAGTAACCAGCAGCCCTGAGCGTGCAGCCCCGCCCTGCGTAGCGCCGTGTGACCAAGCGTGGGGGACAAAACTTAAATTCCAACAGGAAAAATAATGTTTAAACCGCAGGTGTGGCGATTGATGGAAATAATCACGAAGCCAAAGAAAGACAAATCCAGCTTGTCAAGAAGAGGGGAAAAGTCAAGGCTCTGGATGAAGAACTTTACAGTAAGTGGAAAACACTCCGAGTTCGGGCAATAAATGCAGCGAGGGCCCCCGTAACAGAAAGACTTTGTTCCAACAGCATTTGAGACTAAAAATGTTGATGTATCCAAGCTTGGATAAACAGAAGGGGGGTTAAGCCCACGTTGTAAAACTGTGTTCCACAGAGTGTGGGATGGTTTATTTTAGGCAGTGGCACGTGGAGAAGTTTAAAAAATTTTAATAGTTATGTACAGTATTTTAATTATTCTGGCAAATTTATTTTAATTATTCAGATACTGTTTTTCTATTTTAGTATGATTTTCTTTTTACAGTAAGTTTATTTCAGTAAAGACGTGAGCTGCGTTACTGGTAAGCACGGTGGTGGGGGATCCGGCCGGAGTACCCGGGGCGGGGCCTGGCTGGGATGTGCCGTTGGCATGGCTGGTGTGTCGTGGCGTGAGAACACCACCTTCCCTTAACAGTCCTGTGTCTGGTTTTTAAAGTGTGGCAAACTGATTTTTCTTTCATTTAGAACAAAACAGCATGGACTTAAAGGTGGAGTTTGAAACGCACTTTGGCATGGCCCACACTCGCTGGGCCACCCACGGGATCCCCAATGCTGTCAACAGCCACCCCCAGCGCTCAGACAAAGGCAACGGTACGTGGTGTGGCCTTGCTCCTGTCCCCGAAGGTTCTGCCCACCCTGAGCCACGTTGCAGAGCTAGTCCCGGCCAGAGCAGGTTCCATGCCCACTTCTAGCCGCCTTCTCACACAAACGACCTTGCTCCCAAAGCCCTGCTGTTGGCCCTACGCCTCTGCGAAGAGGCACACTCAGCTGGCCCCTGGGCGGTGCTGGCCTGCTGGCCACCCACAGGAAAATGACGGTGCTTATCAGGACTGCTGGCTCCTTGGAACCCAGCCCATGAGTGGGATGTGGCAGTGGGAGGGACTGACGGGCCGGACACTGTTCCTCCCTAAGAGACTGAAGTGTCCCAGAAGGCTGTGCCTTAAGGGGAGGACGGGGACCGTCCTCATCCAGCTAAACCCGCTGTCCCCGCACAGTGGTCCAGAGCGAGGCGGGGGCCGTGCTGAGCTTGGTTGGTGTCTGAGGCACCTGCTCCACCTCTGGGCTCCTGCAGGAGACCTCAGCGGCCAAGAGCTTAGGGTTTGGAGAAGCAGGAGCTGCAGCCAGGAGCCCAAAGGGTCTTCCCAGCAGGAGAGCCCTCGACTCAGCTCACTTCGTGTTTTTAAAAATCAAGAATTATCGTGCATAAAAGTCCAGACTATCTGGCTCCCTTGAAAAGCTGGGGAATCCGGAAACACTGAGTTTATGGAGGCTCAGAACGCCACCGACGGGCAGAGGGCCAAGGTCACTGTGACTGCTCACGGCCGTCTTTGGTGGGTTCCCCTAGCCACCCCCAAGACCAGCCCCAGCTCACAGGTCCACATCACTTAGCTGGGCCGCCAGGACAGTTCTCCATGGCGTGGTTCTCTTAAATAGCACCCCTGCCCGCTCCCGTGCCAGAAAGACTGGTAGGCTGGAGCTCCGGCTGGCAGCTCTCAGGGGCTCGCCGGTCAGCCTCCAGGGTGTCAGGGCCTCCTGCGTTAGGACATGGTGGGCGTGGAGATGGGAGAGGATTTACTCCCTCACTCCTCCCAGGCCTCCAGGGCGTGCCAGAGTCTAAGACATGATCTGGGCCTTCAGTAGGTCCCCACTCTGGGTGAGGCGTGGTCGGGGCAGAAGCTCCTGATGAGTTGGACCTGGGCATAGCAGGGTGGCCATCCAGAAAGAGCGTGGCTTCTGGAGTCAGCCAGACCCCAACTCCAGACGTCCCCTGGCATAGTGCACGTCTTTTCCAAGCGCTGTATCACGGTAAGGATCAAATACATCAGAGCAGTTGTTAGCAGCCTGTTAGCAGGCACCTGGCCACACACGTGACAAGCCTCACTGCAGTATATCCTCACGGAATTTGGGCCAAGGAGAGAGCAGCACCTCCCTGGGGTCCTTTACCCACTGTGGATCAGTGGTGACCCCAGGTAGTGCCAGGCAGGAAGGACAGCCACCCTCAGCCCTAACAGAAAGTGCAGCTTCTCTCCCAAGCACTCTGCGGGGATTTACCAGCCCACCCCGCCCAACTTGGAAGGGCAGGCATCGTCCAGAGACTGGAAGGAGAGCCCCGTCTACCCCACTCAGAAGCGCAGCTGGAGGTAGCACAGAGGCCAGGGGCACTCATGTGTCCATGTGGTCAGAGTCTTTGGGCAGTGAGGCTTCAGTTCGTGACTGTTCCTTGGGTCTGGTCCATGCCCTGAACCATAGGGCATCATGCCGTGACTGGGACAAGCACCCTACACCCCGGAGGAGGACAGCAGACCCCACGGTGCGGAGGACCTAGACTGTACATCTGGCCAAACGCCAAGGCGGATGCAGAAGCTGGTCCCCAGGGCAGCAGTGTCGGCTGAGAAAACACTGCCCCAGGGCTGCGCACCCTGAGATGTTGCCACTTCAGCCACAGCCTCCCAGCCGCCCGAGCGATAAGGCGAAGCTCACCGGAAAATCCACCACTCCAGGGCAGACGATGATTCTGTGTCCCCAAAGCAGGGTGGCTCCAAGGAGACCCACCCAAGCCCGAACTTGGACACTTCTGCCCTGACTCAGGATGAGTAATTGAAGAGAAAATAGCATGGGCAGTAAGCAAAGATTCATAAACTTTCTTAACAGCTAGCAGTGATAGCTGAGGAGCACACTTTTTTTTTTTTTTTTTGAGACAGAGTCTCACTGTGTTGCCCGGGCTAGAGTGCCGTGGCGTCAGCCTAGCTCACAGCAACCTCAAACTCCTGGACTCAAGCAATCCTTCTGCCTCAGCCTCCCGAGTAGCTGGGACTACAGGCATGTGCCACCATGCCCGGCTAATTTTTTCTATATGTTTTTAGTTGTCCGATTAATTTCTTTCTATTTTCGGTAGAGATGGGGTCTCGCTCTTGCTCAGGCTGGTCTCGAACTCCTGAGCTCAAACAATCCGCCCGCATCGGCCTCCCAGAGAGCCAGGATTACAGGCGTGAGCCACCGCGCCCGGCCTGAGGAGCACGCTTTTAAGGAAGTCTCCCGTGCAGTAGCCACAGTGCACAAGGAAATTGCACGGAGAGGCTCTTGCAAAGAAAACATGGATTGTAGGAAAGAAATTAATGAGAAGTTAAAATAGCAGAATAAGATGAAAGAAAATGCGAGAGTTAAGAAAATAATGTAAAGAAATAATGTCACAGTAGATATGAAAAGGTTGGAGAAGAGGATGGCCTGGAGCCAGGTGAGAGACAGCAACACACGGACAGCAGGGTCCCCAAGAGGCCACCAGGACAGAAGCCGAAACGCCACAGCGGAGCTCAGCTGTGGCCAGTGCACCCGCCGAACCTGGGCTTTTCTTATTCAAGCCCTCCCATTTTTGTGTGACGTCCCACAATTAAACGACAGGTTTTTTAAGGTAGAGAGGAACTTACGGTGAAAGTAAAGAAAAAGGTTTTAAAAGACGTAGTGGGAGGAATCTTTCCTGAACTGAAGAAAAATTGGAATCGGAGATCCAAAGGATCACTCCACAGCGTCAGCACTTGTGAAGAGCATCCCACATCTGAACACATCCTGGCGGAATTATTGAACGTTAAGGGCAGTAAGGAATCTTTCCCGCATCCAGGACAAGAGGGAAAGGGGGCTTTTGCCCAGAAAACCTTTCACGCTGGCCTAGACCTTTCCCTAGGTGCTCGCTCATCAGCTACTTATTGAGAAAACGCAGTGGCACTGAGGCAAGCACAGCACTCGCCCCCCAGCGTCCGCGGGGTCCCCTGCAGGGCGGGGGGCAGCGCTGGGGAGGCCGCTGCAGCAGGGAGACCCGGACACAGAAGCGAGGCTGAGCCCGGGGATGCCGGCAGCGCGAGGATTTTCCTGCCAAGAAAGCCGGGACTGTGAAGTGTAAAGTGTAGGTCAAACGAAGCACTTCAGCGGACTGTTAGCGTGTGACCTCTCTGAGCCTGACGTCTGTTGGGAGTGCCTGGGGTAATCCTGGTTAATGAAGGGCCAGTTGTCCGCCGTGCGACGTAGGCACCAAAGCCTGTCCGGAGCATTGCGGACCCCGAGCACAGAGCTCTCCGGCATGGGCGGGCGGTGACTGCCTGTCACTGAGAGAAACGTGTATTCCTCGGGTTTAGATCGTAGTCGTCGTAGACATCAGTGCTGGTCACTGTGACCGAATCTGCCGGGCAGGGTCTCTGTCGGAGTGGAGGCTGCGGAGCTTGCACGCCGTCGCGGCATTTCCCTTCTCCTCTGACCCGCGCTTCACCTCTTCACGGCGCTTCTCTCTTGACTTTTCTTTCAGAATTTGTTGTCATCCATAATGGGATCATCACAAATTACAAGGATCTGAGGAAGTTTCTGGTAAGATTCTTTCCCAGGTGACATCTGGGCCGAGCGGCATGGTCTCCTTGGAAACCTTCCGGCCGGCTCGTTTCCCTGCAGAAGCAAACACGGGAACTGAGCGAGACCCATCTTGGCCACCATGCGTTGAACATAACCTCAGCCCCGGCCTCCCCGGGTCTCGTCTGAGGAGATGCCAGAGCATTAGCATTTCCCTCACGCCACTGCCGATTCTCAGAATCAAAATCACACGCACTTGATGTATTAAGGCGTCTGCGCGATAGAACACGTTGAGTCACACAATCCGTGGAACGAGGGTGGGAGTCAGGGTGGTGAGTGTCTGCAGTTTGGGAAGCTCGTGCGGTGTTGGTCAGATGTGGGCGGATTTGACTCACGTACTTTATCGTTTCGACTGCTGTTGTTTTGCAATGTCCGGATTAGTGGCAAGGACAAGCTTCTGAGGAGGGATGATCTCAGGGAATCCAGGAGTGAGTCAGTGGTGTTTGTCTGTGTGACTCTGGCAAACGTTCTCCATCCCTTCCCAGTTTTCCTTGTTCTTGGCTTAAGTTGCTCCAAGAGCAGGTCATCGGGGAGGAGAGGGAGTCGGCTGGGCAGGCATTGCTCAATGACCACTATCTGACGCTGTGTCCAACCGCACATTCCAGGAAAGCAAAGGCTACGAGTTTGAGTCAGAAACAGATACAGAGACCATCGCCAAGCTGATTAAATACGTGTTCGACAATAGAGAAACCGAGGACATTACATTTTCAACGCTGGTCGAGAGAGTCATTCAGCAGTTGGTGAGTTATAAATCCCATCTGTCTAAATCATGCCTTCGTTTTTTATAAGCCCTTACTAGGCAAATTTGCACAAAGTCCTGGGGATAAAAGATGGTTCATCCCCATCGTCTGGCCTAAAGATGTTGTATCTTGGTGGAATTGGGAGATGTTCTGTGATTTGGGTAGTAAACATCAAATAGAAAGTGCCTTGCTTTGTTTTAACGTCCTGAAATTGTGACTGGCCTTGCGGCCTGTGACCTCTTTTTTTTTTTTTTTTGAGACAGAGTCTCACTGTGTTGCCCAGGCTAGAGTGCCGTGGTGTCATCCTAGCTCACAGCAACCTCAAACTCCTGGGCTCAAGCGATCCTTCTGCCTCAGCCTCCCGAGTAGCTGGGACTACAGGCACGCGCCACCATGCCTGGCTAATTTTTGCTATGTATTTTTAGTTGTCCAATTAATTTCTTTCTATTTTTAGTAGAGACGGGGTCTCGCTCTTGCTCAGGCTGGTCTCGAACTCCTGAGCTCAAGAAATCCACCTGCCTCGGCCTCCCAGAGTGCTAGGATTACAGGCGTGAGCCACCGCGCCTGGCCCTTGCGGTCTGTGACTTCTCACCATGCACCTGTGAGCTTGGTGAGGGCGCAGGAGAGGGCTGTGCTTCTGAGGGAGATTGTGTTGCTGAAGGGAATGACCAGGAGGGAGAGAGAGATTCGTGACATCCCAGAGGGCAGGGCCCGAGGAGCCGAAGGGATGAGAAGGGGAGCTCACGCTGGGGGATTTTCCAAGGGGAGCCCGTCCTCGGCGGAGGAGATGGAGCCCCACAGGTCCACCTGGGATGGGGCAGGAGGAGGGAAGCGCCCGAGACCTCTCAGTGCCGACCAGCAGCTGCTCCATGGCGACGGCAGCGTGGAGACAGTGTTGGGGCTGAGAGTTGGGACATCCCGGGTCACTGGCTGCTGCAGGCACCATGCTGCGGTTTACGATGGATCATACCTGGGCGAAGGTTTTCAGAGTCTTATTTGAAAAGTAAGTCTACTGTCAAAACTCTTTGCTCTGTGACTCCCATTTTTGGGAGTCCACAATTCAGAGGACACGTGTATAAATAGCAGGAAGATCCTGTCCCCTGCTTTGCGTGCTGGTGCAGGGAGCCGTGCACAGGAAGCCTGTTTGGTATTGCAGTGCGGTATTTCCTGCTTTTCCATTTTTATTTTGAAACTTTAGAAATACCTCTCCCCCATAAGGGCACTTTTAAACTTAGGACTTTTCCTAAATTAGCAAAGCCTCAGGATCTGCCTGAAGCCCCTTGGTTTTGGGCAGTTGGAAGGGCCGTTGGGACCTGGAGACGCCAACCCGGCCCCTTTGGCCGTGCCGCAGAGCGGGCGAGCTGGACCTAACGCACAGGCCACCCAGGGCCTGGGCTGCCAGGGCTGCAGCACTTAGGAGAGTTCACAGGGAAACCTGGATTTATAGCCAGTTGTACGTCACTGAGGTCTACTAGGGTCGTGATAAATAAGTACGGACGGCCAGGATGTAGGGGAGAATTTTGCACCAAGAGTGTAAGTAGAAAAAGCTCTTTGGGTCTTGCGTTAGGAGAGCTGGACTCTAGTTCTGGCTTTGCACAGCCAGCAGGCCGAGGCACAGCGCACAAGTAACCGTATCCACAGAAATAACAATAACAACAGTAGCAGCTTGGGCTTCTCTTGGGTCCTCCGCGTGCCAGGCCTCGTGCAGTGCTGTAGCTCATCATCATCACAGAAGCCATCCCAGGCAGGACTATCCTCATGTCCATTCACAGACGAGGACGACGAGGCACAAAGGTGGCTAAAAGCGTCGCCCCGTGAAGCACAGAGCGGGGACTGAACCCAGGCTGTGCTGTGTGTGGGGCTGAGCGCAGCCCACAGGTGTGAGGCCGGGAGCAGGGCCCCGGCTGGCCCGCACTTCCTGTGCTTGAGTGCGCCTGTCCAGCCCGCCCGTCCTGGAGGTGGGTGTCCCTCAGGGGCTCCCTGTGGGACTGGAGAGGTGTGGTTTACGTTGCTCTCCAGGAAATCACATGTTCTGGTCTCTGGTACATCAGCGTTTGTGTGTCCCTTTCCCTCCTGCCATCCCCTGCTCGAGCTGCTCCTGCGTGCAGCTCCCTAGGACCCCAGGACTTCCCACAGTGAAGAGGGGCCCAGGGAGACCCTCTGGGGCTCCTTAGGACCCCAGGACTTCCCACGGTGAAGGGGGGCCCAGGGAGACCCGCTGGGGCAGCGGCCAGGCCGCAGAGGCTCGGCTAGCTGGAGCGAGTTGGTCCTCACTGTTCACCCATGTGTTTTCAGGAAGGTGCATTCGCGTTGGTTTTCAAGAGCATCCGCTACCCAGGAGAAGCCGTTGCCACAAGGTAAGGCAGAATGCATTGATATTTCCAATAAGAAAGAAATCAATAAAATAAAATCGCTTCGCTGCGGCACAGGGGAGGACCGGGGCCTCCAGCACACCGGAAGGTGCCTGCTGCGTCTGAAGGACGGCCGTGGCGTCGCCCCGGGACTGCGCCCTGTGCCTGTGGCCGGTGGTGCTAGAGCTTCTGATATTTTAAAAAGAGAAACCAGAAAGTTGGATTTTTATTTGGAATGTCCAGATTTTTAGAAGTTGACAACAAATTAAAATAAAAACAAAACTGTATTGGGGCCGGGCGCGGTGGCTCACACCTGTAATCCTAGCACTCTGGGAGGCCGAGGCGGGCGGATTGTTTGAGCTCAGGAGTTCGAGACCAGCCTGAGCAAGAGCGAGACCCCGTCTCTACCAAAAATAGAAAGAAATTAATTGGACAGCTGAAAATATATAGAAAAAAAAAATTAGCCAGGCATGGTGGCGCATGCCTGTAGTCCCAGCTACTCGGGAGGCTGAGGCAGAAGGATCGCTTGAGCCCGGGAGTTTGAGGTTGCTGTGAGCTAGGCTGACGCCACGGCACTCTAGCCAGGGCAACAGAGTGAGACTCTGTCTCAAAAAAAAAAAAACAAACTGTATTGGGCAAATCCAGGTTTTGTGGGGCTCGAAGCCAGTACAATTTGGGAGACCCCCTCTTAAGAAGAAGCATGCAGAATGAGCACATCACTAGGAAACAGAGGGAACACTGATTTGGATCCAGTACCAAAGAGGCCTCGGAGGCCCAGAGCTCAAACTTCACAAGCTTCACAGCAGGGGGTCCCAGGAATCCGCCCAGAGAGTCTGGTTCAGCCCACGTGTGGCCCCCAGAGCTGTGTGGATTTACGGAAGTGGATTGAGTGCCATCTTTTATTTTATATTCAGATGGATTGAGTATCCATCCGTCCGTGCAGCTAACATTTGTTGAGCACTTACTGTGTGCCAGGCCCTAGGGACCTGGTGACATGGGACCTGGTCCCTGCCCTTCAGGGCCGGACAGTCGTGCAGGAGGGCAGAGAAGGGCAGAGGGGGGTGATGCTCTGTGATGGGGCCCAGTGCACCGGGGGCCTGAGGGGGCAGCTGTCGGCCTGGAGGAGGCAGGTAGCGGGCTCTAGGGACCAGCATGAGCAAAGGCAAGGGGCCCAGGGCAGGTGCTGCCTCCAGGGTCCCTGCTGGCCGGGGTGACGGCGGGGTGGAGGGGCACCGTGGGGCTTGAGGCTCTTCCAGGCTTAGTGTGTGCTTGACTGCCACCGGTTGTGTGTCAGGCGCAGGGGACAGCGGTGAGCAAGGTGGTGGGGACGCTGCCCCAGGAGCCCGGAAGGCTGGTGAGAGTGGAGAGGTGGGCAAGGCCTGGCTCTAAAGGGGCTTGATGCCCTGCGGGCGGCCGGCTCCATTCTGAAGCTCCCGGGAGCCACGGAGGGTGTGCCCGTGGCCCTGGGAGACTGGGCCGGAGAAGCGAGGCTGTCCCTCGCAGACGGTCCTGGCAGGAGATGACAGGCATTTATCATGATTTTATCTTTTTCCAGAACTGGAACTGATTTACCGTTTGGAATTTAATTCCCTCAAATCATAGAAGTATAAAATCCCAGTTGGTTCCCATCAAATTTAGAAGCCCCTCTTAAAATCTGGTATTATCATGATGTTATTGTTTAAAATGAACTCGGAAGAGGGCAGCATGAAGAAGCAATAAAGCTTTATTTTTCTAAGTTGCCTATAACCGATGGCTCTGCAACCTCCAGGACAACCTTTGGGATGTCTTGAGAGACTTTTATGTCTCATTCTAGAGAAACCACAGAGCTCAACCTACAACAGTACAATTTGGGGGCCATTTGCCAAGAAAATTAGATAAGCACATGCTTTCTCACTGTCGTTATTTTTTTTTTTTGAGACAGAGTCTGACTGTGTTTCCCAGGCTAGAGTGCCGTGGCGTCAGCCTAGCTCACAGCAACCTCAAACTTGGGCTCAAGCGATCCTCCTGCCTCAGCCTCCCGAGTAGCTGGGACTACAGGCATGCGCCACCATGCCGGGCTAATTTTTTCTATTTTTGGTAGAGACGGGGTCCCGCTCTTGCTCAGGCTGGTCTCAAACTCCTGAACTCAAACGATCCGCCCACCTCGGCCTCCCAGAGGGCTAGGATTACGGGTGTGAGCCACTGCGCCCAGCCTCACTCTCATTATTTTAAAGACTATTTAAGCTAGTTCCCTGATGGGCCCAGAACCGTCTCAGATTTGCTTAAGACGTAATAAAAGATTGGCCAAAATGTCCAAGGTGCTCATGGACCTTCTTGAGAGCCACAGACTTTGTCCCCCACTTGGAGAAGTCACACACGGGCCAGCACCACTGGAAAACAAGGTCTGTTGTTGCTGAAGAAGTACTGGGCACTGTGTTGAGGCGGGTTAACCACCATCAGTCACAGGCGGGCAGGATTCGGGCTGACTGACAAGTAGGTCGTTAGTTCCTTGATCTAAGTTAACAAGAAACCGGTTGAGGTAAAACGTTACCTCATGGTGTTCTCATGAATGTGTTTGAAGCAGCTCGCAGATTGCCTGATTGCCGCATGCTGGGTGTTTTCTTCTTCTCAGTGAGTTAGTGTGTGGGAGGGGGAGGCACCCTTTAGCAACTACCGGAATTTTACCTGCTCGGGTTCAGACTAGAATTGGAGGTTTAGAGTGAGCTACGAGAATGAGCAGCTTATTTCTGTGCAACGCCCATTGTAATCAGATTTGCATGCTGTGATTTGTAAGAATGAGCAAAGAGTTAGATTTTGGAGGCGAGATGCCGTTACAGTCATGGAGTGATCCCTGCAGCACCTTCAGCGCTAGAGGCTGAGACCCTCGAAACGATACCGTGGGCGCTTTCCCGGGGCTTCCCTGGTGAGGCGCAGGGGAGCCTGCTCGCGGCCAAGTCAGAGGCACTGGGAGGGAGGACCTGAGTCAGGGCCCTCCCCTGGCCGGCGGCAGGAATTCCCCAAGAGTCTGCCCTGCGAAAGTCACCGTCCCCTTCATGACGAGCGAAGTTCGCCTTGTACGGTCGAAGATTCTCAACTTCATCCGTGAGGTGTCGCTCAGGCAGAGTCAAAACCACCCTGGAAGTTGCCCCAGGTGGCCCCCAAAGTGGAGTGTACACAGAGGCCAGTTAGCTTTTTGCCCACTAAGGCAGGAGAGCAGTGGGACCGGGCGAAAGGAGGGGACGCAAAGGGAGTCTTCGGGAGATCGGGGCGTGGGGCCCTCCTGCTTTAGGGGTGTGCAGCTAAGGGAGGCCGGGGAGCCCCGTGTGCCCCTGCGTGCCGGCGCTCAGCCTTGGCGATCGAACTGTGTGGGTTAGTCCCGTGTGGGGGTTCACCGTGCTGGCGGAGTCCCCGGTCCTAGGGGACGGGAGGAACCACCAGGCTCATTTGGCAGGTGGGGGATTCCCGTGCCGGCCGCTGGGTCCTTGCTCTGGACCCCGAGAGCACCTCCTGTGGCCGAGACCTAAACACGATCGTCGGCCCCCAGGAAAGGGCTAGATTTGGGATCCCGCCTCAGATGGGGTGTGGAAGGCGGTGAGTAACTTGGTGCCTTCTTCTCGCTCCAGGAGAGGCAGCCCCCTGCTCATCGGAGTGCGGAGCAAATACAAGCTCTCCACGGAGCAGGTCCCCATCCTGTACAGGACGCGTAAGTCTCTCGGGAGGGAGCTGGACAGCGCAGCTGCTGCCCACGTCTCGGACTCGGCGGCTGCTCGGGTGCGGCCAGCTCCCCTCCGAGGCAAGGAGGCCCCAGCTGGCACGCGGCTCCAGGTCCAAAAGGTTTTCACGCAGCTGGCGCTTGGCTCCATGTTTTTAAAAAGCTTTTTATGGTGGATATTTTCAAACACACAAAAGCAGAGAGAACGGCTTGCAGTTCTGTTGTGGAATGGCCGCCGTGCCTCGATCTGAGCGCTTCCTCGGTCTGTTTTGTTCGCATTGCTCGCACGCTGTAGCCGTGGGGATGCTCCTGCAGTGGTCCGTGCTATTTGAGGATCTTGACACGGTTCCGCTGACGCAGCCGAAGCTAAAAATCGCACGTTTCTCCCACACACATTCAGAGGGGAAATTGGTTCCTTGCTGCGTGCTATGCAAACAAAATAGTCTAATGAGATTTGCAAAGCGTTCCTTCATTTGCTAGGCACTATTGAGAACGTCAAGAACATCTGCAAGACCAGGATGAAGAGGCTGGACAGCTCTACCTGCCTGCACGCAGTGGGCGACAAGGCAGTGGAATTCTTCTTTGCTTCCGACGCGAGGTAACTAACCTGCCCTTTCCTGCCTGGGACTGCATAACCAAAGGGTGCCCGTCTAAACGGCACCCTCCTGCCTTATCCCCCTCCTGAGCTGCTTCCTCGTCGCTCAGCAAGGTGCAGGGCCGAAGCAGGTTCCAGCCCCCACGGCCCTTGTCCCGGAGTCCTTGCCCGTGAGTACCTGCAGGGCCGTGGTCCGCAGCCCTGGAGGCCGAAGGCCAGAGCCACTGACGGGCACAGTGTTTTGCGCCTGCACAAAATAATTGAATTATTTGCCAACATTTTAAAATCGGAGGATTCTACATAAAAATCTGTATTTCTAGCTTCTCTGGAAAACTGCTGTACTCGCTCAGGCCTCACGTGTCTGGGTCTGCTCAGAGGCTGCTCCCTTCACATGGGGCCCGTGTCTCCGGACCTCAGTTCTTCCCACAGCCCCCGCTTGTGCCAGGGCTCTGTCCGTTTGTAAGAGACAGAGCCAAGATTTAGGGGGTTTGTTCAATTGATTCTAAAATCCATGTTCTCATCAATCCACAAAGTAATCATTTTGAAATTTGAGAAATTCTGCTTCCTGCCCATCTTATTACAAAAATTTTACACTCAGAGAGAGAAAGAGAGAGGGGGGAAGCGCGCTCCCTGCCTTGAAGAAGAAAACCACGCAGACACAGCCGCTGCCTCTTCCCTCCAGACCTTCCTCTCTTTCCGTTCTGCAGAGTTCTCAGTTCTCGCCTCCCACCCGGCCTCCAGCAGGGCCTTGCCGGGCAGCAGGAGGACACCGGGCCAGGTCTCCCGGGAAACGGGAAGGGATGGCAGGAACGCAGGGCCTGTCTGAGGCCACGGCCAGCATCGCGCTTGGCACCGACAGGGAAGGGCGGCATTTCCCCAGCTGTGTTCCTTGCGGAACCATTTCAGTGAGAAGTTAAGATTATTTCAATGATTCTGAGACACAGCATTTTGTAGATTTTGGCATCTTGCCATTATAAGTTGCTGAAGTTTTTACTTCTTCGAAGTATATCAAATAATTGTGATCTTACAACCAATAGTACCTATTTTCAGTGAAATATGATAAGTATTTCCTTTTTGAAAAAGAGTGAATGCCTGAAAGGAGATGAAATAATTACTTGTATTGCAGCAGAAAGGCCGTTAGACCTACTAATAGCAGGTGGGAACGAAGGTGTGGAAACCCCACACTCCAGCCCCAGCCCTGCGCTGCTAGCTGAACAGGCCCGGACCACGTCTGCCTGGTTCCCTGCTGTCTCTCCTCACGTGACCAGGCCCCAGAGGCTCTTGGCAAACATTTGGTAAACAAAAAAAGCAATACCACTCACCACAGCTGGAAAAAAAAATGTTTAATTAGATTCCTTAGAATAAATTTCAATAAAAATGGTCTGGAATCTGTTTGGAGAAAACTACAGAAGTTTACCATGAAAAACAAAGAGATTTGAATGGAGGAGGAGATTCCACATTCCTCAGTAAGAAGCTTAATATTACTATTTTTCTTTTTTTCCTTTCTTTCATAGAGACAGGGTCTCACAGTGTTGCCCAGGCTGGCCTCGAACTCCTGGGCTCAAGGGATCCTCCTATCTCAGCTTCCCAAGTGGATATTTTCAAAAATTAATGGACTTAAAATTTTAAATTAATGTAATAATTAAAAATTAATTTTTAAAAAATGTTGATTCTCCCCTAAGTTAATCAGTGAATTCAATACTGTAATTAAAATCCTCAAGATTCTTCTGTTTGTTTAGGTTTTTGGAACTTAAAAAAGTGATTCTGTCATGTACCGTGTATAGACAAGAAAGCCAACGCGTACTGAAAAATAGTGACAAGGTGACCCCCTAGATAGGAAGACACACTGTAGAGCTCTCAGACGGCCGTAGCCGCTGTCCACAAACGGCGGGGCCCTGTGCCGAGGGCCACGCCTGGGCTGCCTTGTTAATAACCGCAGCAAACCTCTGTGGGGGGACAGCTCCCCTCTCCTGTTCACAGAGGAAGAGCCAGAGCCAGGGGTCAGAGGGGTCACCCGTGTTGCCTGGGGGCACAGGACCAGTGAGAGACAGAGTTGCAGTGTCCACCCCAGGTGTAGCTCTTGCACCAGTGACCTTAATGACTAGACTACTATCCATTCTGTAAATTAAAATAAACATGCATATATACATGCACACATAAATGCAAACACACATGCATCGAGCATTTCGGGGAGGGCCACGCTATAATGTAAGCAGTGTTTAGCTCTTGGAGACAGGGTAGGGCCATTTTTATTATAGTTCCTCCCCCTGTGACTCTGAATTTCTCCTTTTTATACAGCAGGTAAGAATTGCTTAAAATTTGTTTTCCAGCGCTTTGGCTTTCCATCCTTCTCTTTCTTCCCTGGGATCTGGCCGGATACACCTCTCGTGGAGCCATCGAGCTTGGCAGTCTCTCTCCTTAACTTTGTACCGGGAGTTTGTTCGTTTGCCTGCAGAGACACTTGTGGGTGTGGCACTTCCTAGAATGAAGTTTTTTTCCAGTGGTCCTTCAAGCCCTACCTGCGTGGTTTCTACCAAATCTATACACCCACCACCTGTGCTGTTAATTACCGAGCTTTCTTTTTCACTTACCAACTTTTCTTGCTTAAACTTATTTCTGAAAGACACTTCGTACTGTGATCTCAAGGGGGAAAATCATTATCCTTTCTATACAGAGAAAGTTATAAAAATAAACAACGATGGCCCATGTTTCATTGGTGGACATACGCTGCAGGTTACTTTCAGGGCCGTGTGTCTGTGTGTGTGATTCTGTCATGTACCGTGCATAGACAAGAAAGCCAACACATGCTGAAAAACAGTGACAGGGTGACGTGGTGTGTGTGTGTGTGTGTGTGTGTGTGTGTGTGTGTGTGTGTGTGTGTAAGAGACTGAGTCTCCTGTCCTGAGTTTCCCACTGTCTGGATTTTGCCGAGTGCACCCCCCGAGGCGTGCCGTGTTCCTCTGTCTACTGTATTTCCTGTAAACTGGACTTTACAAGTGTCTAGAAATTTGATCTCATTCGGATTTGATTGTTTTGGCAAAACTGCGTAGGCGATGGTGTGTCCTTCCACCGGGAGGCACATGGTGTCTCATTTTTCTCTCCTTTTAGGGGTTCTGGTGTTGCCAATCTTATCTGTCCAGTAAAAGCTGCTCTCAGCTTTTCACCTCTTGGTTTCAACAGCCATTGACGGTCCTTGATTAGAGTTATTAATAATTAGGAGTTCATAAATCAATTACTCTAATTCTATCATTTCTTCATTACTAGCTGCATTACTTCTATAGGAGAAACTTGGTTTTGTAAACTGTGGTTCTGAAAGACAGGTTGTTTAAGGCCGGGCGCGGTGGCTCACGCCTGTAATCCTAGCTCTCTGGGAGGCCGAGGCGGGC